TGTTCTTAATGTGTGTTTTTAAAATAAAAGTTACAAAAATATAAAAATAAATTATGTATTGTAAAATATTTTAAAAAATGAATAACGTAATTTCTTTTTTATTATTTCTCTAAAAATAAAATAATAGATATAAATTTAATTCATTAACATCTTATTGGAGCTTTATTTTTAAAAAGGGTTGTCTTTTTATGTTCCCCTATAAAGGAATTATTCTTCTGTAAAAGAAATCGGTTTTTTTTAATATATTATAATTATTTATGGGTTAATTAGAGAATAAAAAAAATTTTATGAGATTTAAATGTGTAATTTACAAAAAAATAAACAATTCTAATTCAACGTCTAATGTTATTGAGTTGAAACGAATCGTTCCTTTAAAACTTTTGATTGTCAAGTTGTTCAGTTGGTAAATTTTTTTTACAATTTAAAATTTTTGATTTAATAGATTAAATAAAATAATATTAATAGAATTATTATGTTATATGTTTTATTTAAAGGTTAGACATTTAAAATATGAATTTATACAAACTAATATTAATTAAAATGATGCTTCTAACTTGTACAAAAAAATATATAATGACTTAGAGAGACAACTTTCTTCTAAAATATAGCTCTAATAGGGCGTCAATAGATTAAACTCTTATTTATTGTTTTGCTTTTGGAGAGATAATAAAAGAAAAGTTACATAATACTATGGGCGGGTGGATGAGTTGGTTGTGACTCTTTCAGCTTAATTAAAGGTCTTGAGTTCAAGTTTTGGGAATGCAACTCCATTAAAACTTATGAGGGAGAGTTTTGCCACATATTGAGACCTACCAGATTCGAATCCAGATTAGTCAGTCGCCCAATGAACTTCTGGATACTGGATGATCATACCAAAAAAAAAAAAAAAAGTTACATAATCTATGCTTTAAAAAATTCTACAATACATGATTTATTTTTGTTTGAAGGTAACTTGATTGATTAATTGATAATACTCATCTCTAGGAGTATATATGTTCGTATTAAAGTCTTGAAATCTCATTAATTAAGCTGGCGTTGAAGTTAATTTGTTCAGGTTGGTTATGACATTAAGGTCCCGTTTGGTATAACGGTTTTAGGATAGCGGTTAACGGTTTTACCTAAATCGTTAAATATAAGTGTTTGGTAAATTTATATTTTTTGAAACCGCTACAACTAAAGTGTTTGGTAAAATTTTTATTTAGCGGTTTGAGACTAGCGGATAGCGGTTAGGGTTCAAATCGCTAGCGGATTGAAAAAGTTAGTTTATATAACTTTTTGTACCAAACCACTAGCGGATTAGAATTTTTTAATTTTATTGAAAAATTTATCCATTTTAATTTTTTAATTTGTGGTCACATTTTTTAATTAATAATTATCTAATAAATTTCAGTTTTGTTTTT